GCAGCTGTTAAGTTGCTCCAGAAAGTTATACTTAAATTCCATAAGAAGGCTATCAAAAAATTCATCTGGTTTTGAGAGACAGCTGATATTTTTCCATGAAACACATTTCAATTTGGTTTAAAAAATTGTGGAGGCAAGTTTGAAATTGGATTTAAATTGAATTGAAATTGAGAACTGGCCAGTGTCGAATACAGAAAACTTTTTTGCAAAACTTTTACGTTGCCTGTTACATCACAGTACACGTGCAAACACGTTCGGGAAGTTTCTACAAAAAAAAGCACCCAATATTGGTTAGTATGCTTGTTCGATTTTTATACCGAATTCCTATACCTTTCATTTTTTATAGATCTGAAATAACATAGAAAATTATTGTTGGGTCCACCTGCTAGTAAGTAGCTATTGCACCCCATAGAGAAATGCTACCAACTTCAAACTAATGAGATGCGATGGTACTTTCAAAAAGCAGCTTTATTAACACTGTATTCGTCTATAGCAGCTATATGTTTGAGTCTTATGGGTTGGGTCTTATGGTTACTTATAAATGAGCTTAAACTTTTTATGACATTATTTATTGAATTATTGATGACTGCGACTGCGTCAAAAAAAACCGAAGCGCCGTGGGCTCAAAGTATTCATGGCTTTCGACCGGCACGAGGTACCGCAAGCAACTTCTTGAACTACATGGCTGATATGGTGCCGGTAGTGAACAATGGAGTGCAGGTGGATGTCATCATCATTCACAAGTCCACTGCTGAACATAGGCCTCCCCCAAGGAATGCTACAAAGCACGGTCCTGAACCACCTGCATGCATCGACTTCCTGCATGTCTTATCAGGTCTTCACTCTATCTAATGGGAGGTCGCCCTAAACTACGCCCACGGGTACGAGTTTGCCACTCGAGAACCTTTTTTTCCCATCGATTGAAGGTTCTTCGAGTTATATGGCCGGCCCGTTGCCACTTCAGCTTGCTAATCCGTTGCAAGCGGAAATCGCTTAAAGTTTCAAAAAAGCCTTCGACTTGGTCGATAACGACCTACTTCAAAAGTTAGCAAGCGTTGGATCTACTCCACACTTTTTACCAATTTTTTGCCAGTTACACGAGGAACAGCCAGCAATATGTGAAATACGCTGGTTTCATATCGAAACTCCATTACTATATGCTCGATCTAGTCAGAGACAGAGCAGTAATCTCGGTCCTCTCGAGTTTACATTAATGACTAGCGTGCCGCCCCTGTTTCGCACGGGTGTTAATTAGATCTCGATAACAGCGCGCGTACTGGGTCCAATTGAATTTATAAACATTTTCGAGTTTTTGCGAGACTAAGGGACAGCATTTGATTTTATATGTGTTAGACAAGATAAACGATCTGCCGAGTATTGTTATTGATGCTTAATGTTTGCTGTTCGCTGACGACTTTAAGCAGTATCTGACGATCAAGGAACGGGAGGACTCTGAGAGGTTGCAAGCGACTTTGATAGGGTGGTAGCGTGGTGTGAGGATAATAAGTTGCGTTTAATACATCTAAGTGGGTAACTCTAACGCTAACTTTTCCTTGCGCACGCAATCCAGTACTCGATAAGTATGCGCTAGAAATAGACTATATGATACAAGTAAACGAGATTAAGGATTTGGGTGTTCGTTTCACCTCAGGACTTAATTTTCAAAATCCTATAGATAACATCTGCAAGAAAGCGTATCGTAACTTAGGTTTTATACTGCGCTGGGCTCGCTGTTTCACTAACATCAAAGCCATTATAGCATTATATTATAATGTCTTAGTTAGGAGCCAGCTTGAGTGCAACGCGGTTATCTAGGCTCCACATGAAACTAAGTATAGACTCATGCTGGAGAGAATACAAAACAGTTAGATCTCTATATTCCAAAGAGTATGGGGTATATCTTTCCCACTTAAATATACAACCTTATTCGTTTTAGGAATAGTGGAATATAATAAAATCCGTGTTAGGCAGTATCTTACACTTCATCTATTTTCCAAGTGATAAAAGGAAAGATAGGCAATACTTATTTCTTGGAGTGTATATTTGAATGTCCCGGAACAGAACATGTAGCGAAGGCGGCGGCCGCGGTTGACGGCGGTTCGCGCCCTTGAAATAAGTATACTAGGTTGATCAATGAGTTTTTTGTATAGCACACTTATCAGTGAGCTCAAAAAATGGGTTCTATTTTTTCTTCGAATCTTAAATTCGTTAATAGCCAAGGCCAGAAAAAACTAAATTAAAAACTACACTAATTTTTTTTCAAACCAAACATTTGCCGGGTATTTGATTCGTATGCAAAACGGGGAACTCGAACTTCATGCGGTTATTAAATATTTCTGCCTAAAAAATATTCTACAGCATTTTTGAAGAACTGCAGTCTACTTTGGCAGACAATGCTCAGTTTTATTCTGAATGTACACGCGACAGAATCTACTACGAAAACGAACCTACGCAAAGATCTGAAGAATAATCGTCGAGAAAATTGCGTGCTGGAGTGCTTTTTCATCATGATAATGCCTAATGCCCTAGCCCATCGATCAGGTGTTGCAGGTGCTGCCATTCGAACTGCTGGGTTTCAGTTGATGCATCACCCACCCTATTATCAGGATCTAGCTCTGAGTGTTTTTCACATTTTTACTCATATGAAATAGCACTTGCTCAATATAAAATTTGACGGCGACGATGAGGTGGTTTGTACTGTGTGCCATTTTTGCAAAGGAACTAACCAACTTGCATAACGCTATTTAAGGTGTGTTACATTAGAAGGCGATTACGTTGAAAAATAAATACAATTTACATGTCTAATGTCTATTTACATATAGATACTTATATCCTAGAGTTTCATTGCGTTTCCAAAAACGTATTTATCACTTTAGTATATGTGTGCGGCTTATTATTAGGTCTTTGCCTATGGAATTGCTGTTCTTTATGAAATAAGTTAACATAATTTATTCTATATCTTTTACTAGAAGTAAAAGATATAGAATAAATTATGTTAAATTATTTTAATCAAAGTAATGAGTCGTGCAATCGATGAATCTTTGCCAACGCAGTGACAGTTTATTGATGCCCTTCATAATGAAATCAACTGGACGGGAGGCAACAAATTCTTCAAAGGTATTTTGTACTGTCTTTCGAGTATTAAATTTTTTTCCCGCCAAAATGTTATCCAAATTCTGTAAAAAGTAGAAATCTGTAGGCGCAAAGTGTGGTGAGTACGGCGGATGACGGAGAACGTCTAAGTCCAGCTCTTGTAACTTGGAGACCGTCTGTTGTGCAGTATGAAGTCGCGCATTGTCGTGCAGGAGTAGCGAGGGTTGACCAAAGCTGGTTGAAGACGTGCGAGCTTCTCCATCATTGTGTTCAGTTCTTTATAGTGCACATCTGTAGTAAAGCTCATCCCGATTGGTAAGAAGCTGTGATAAATCACACCGGTGCTAGGACACTAACAATCACTTTTCTTGGAGTAAGTTTTCGTTTCGGTGCTGAACCAGGCTCCAACCAACTTGCAAATCGAACCAACGCGCTTGCGATTGTCAAACAGAATCCATTTTTCGTCGCAGGTAACAATGCGGTTTAAAATTCTTTTGTTTGAGTGCCCGTTGAGCACTGCAAGGCTTTTCTCGAAGCGTACTTCGCGCTGGAGATCATCGAGCTCGTAGGCTACCTATTTCAACTATTTGTTAAGCTTTTTTTACCTTGCCGATTTGACGCAAACGGACCAATATTGTTTTGATGATCACGTCGAAAACTCCCGCTGGTTCAGCCGTAGATTGAGTATCACCAGCTCGCATAATAGCCTTTAATTCGACATTGTTGACCAAAGTTTTCGGATGGGTACGGGTTCAGGTCGAAATTCCAGAACGGAAGCGGGCAAACCAATAACAGGCGGTGCGTTCGTTTGCGGTATTCGGTCCTTAAACGTCGTTGATGACGTTTTAATCTAACCATGATAACGGAAAAGATTCCAATGCAATTAAAACTTAACCCTAACCAATAATCAGACGACTAATTTTGAAAAAAGAATTCCATGTTTATAAAATAAAATTAATTTGAAATTAGAATTCTTAGCTAAACAAAAATTATTTTGATTTGAAATGGACCGTACTCTCGTATTTCTTTTAATTGCGCAAAGTAACTTAAAACGAAGCTTGCGGCATTGGAAAGTAATTCTAATTTTTTATAATCAAGACAACCTATGTATGGGGCTAAAATTACAAAAAAGGAACAACGGTCAGAAGAAAAAAGGTAAAGTAAACAGGTATTTAGGTAAATATCTTAAATTATGAACATAAAACGAAAATTTTTGACAAACTCTCTTGTATTGAAAATATGGAAAACAAAAAGTTAATATGTATGTTAATTATTGCATATAGGTACTTAGTTGTTATAATAAAACTTTTAAGTTATTAATAACAAATTCGTAGCCAGTAATAAGTTCATTGGGCAAAATTGGAAATCCATTTGATACATTTAAAACCTCCAGCTGGGGTAATTTCCATTAATTGTCAGCGTAATACTTTTGTTAGAGTGAGACAGAGATACTCGGTCTCGGAAACTATTAAGTAATTAATTGAGTAAAGAAGAGGCACCAAAGTGCTTGCATTTTTTTCCAGGACCAACACTAGATGTAGGTAATGAATACTAGTTTGAAACTTCTATATCCTTCATATCGCTACAAGGTATATTCAGGTATATTTCAAAATAGATCTTTTTAATGAGTCATTTTTGGGACTTAACTTTCGAAGGATGATGACTTTTCTGAAGATTTTGATGTACTTTTATTTTTGATGTAAGATTTTAATAAAAAAAATTTTAGTCGTAGTGCGACGCACATATATGGTTACATTACTCTACATATTATACTTAACCATCGACTTGATGGATACTTAGAGCATATCTCATTCGCCGGAATCTTTACTGCCATCATTTTATTATCGTGATGTTTTATTGAAACATAAAGAGATAACTAAAGCACCATAAAGTCTGAGAATGCTCACCTATATGGGGTCCACAAGAATACGACGTTACCACGTTACACTTTCAATTTGTTACTTCGCGTCATGTAATTATCGGCAACACATGTTCACGTATTAGGGAAGCACGACGGACGGGTGTCGGGCACGACAGTGTTGCCTGAGGGACGAAAACCTTCTGGCACGCGTCGCGAACTGCCCGCCAGTTATGCCCGCCTGGTATCGCAACGCGGCGCGGCGCCACACTAGACGCCTCTCCCTTGTTTTGGAGCGTGAAGATGTGTTTGATTTTGTACAACTCAATTACTTTGCCCACCCCAAACATCAATACGATGCTTTTAATGAAGTTATTGGAATTTATTCCCTGTTTGTATTTGTTTTACCAGTAATGTCAAGATACGAGAAAGTTTCAAATACAATGGACACGTAACGAGAGATTCAATTGGGAGTAGACAGACTAAAATAATTTATTCAGAAACAAAGGGAATATTTATTAACACACGATTCAAATAGAATGTGTAATGTGTCTTTTAACAAGCCACGCACTCAGATTTTTATTTCGTCTGAGGCCACACATTTAAGCTATATTTCTTGTTATCCATCAGCCCATTTAATTCTAATTGCTTAATATTGGTCTTTTAATAACACTCATTCTGATATGCATCTTTTTTGGAAATTGCACATGTTTAAAGCCCTGCAGCCGAGTTGGAAGGAGCTGAGTCCTCGCAGCAATAATAGTGCTTATTGCCTGATAACTGTTTGACGTTGTCGGAAGAATTTTCGGTATCAGTCTTCATCTGTTAGGAACAAGGTACACCGTGTGCAGATGCAGTTGACATTTGAAAAAAAAAATATGTATATCTCGTACAACCCTTACATTGTAATATTTCCTGTTTATAAATGCCGGATTTTGACAGTCAAAGCGACTGTCAAAATCCGGCACATCCGGTCTACAGACCCAGGGATTAACTAAAGTTAACGATTTTCGTTGAAGGCCTTTCAGATTTACGCACCAACCGATGAACCGATGTGATGGAGGAGATGAAGGAGTATGAGGATATCTCTAGTGGCATGCATTACTTCCTAACATTATATATGGTGATAATGGGAGATTTCAAAGCAAAACTAGGTACAAAAGAGAACGGAGAGCGCTGAAAGCAGAATAATTCAGATTAGAGCAACAGAACCTAAGAGGTCTACAGCTAGCCGATTTCATGGAGAAAGAGGGAGTAAACTATTTCTTCCCGAAACGACCCCAAAGAAAGTTATCTCGCCAAGCCCCGACGGTTCGATAGAAAATTAAATTGATTTAATTATTACGACCAGACGGCAAATGTTCAGTGATGTCTTAGTGATCGCGAAGGTGAAAACTGATAGCGTTTAAGAATGGTAAGAGGTACACAGAACTTTATAAATTAAGTAATGGAGGTCATGTCTGATGAAGTCAACAGTTCCGTCCCCCTCGTGCTCTAATTCAGAGCCTCTAATACTTTCAGCTCGATTAAGAAATTCCTTTTCAGTGCCTAGACGATTGAAATACAGTGGGCGGTATAAATAACAAGCTTAAGGAAACTATCCATGCGGTCTAATGCGCGAATTATGCTAAGTTCTGCTAGACCCGTCGCAGAAGAACCAAAAAATAGCCGATTACGCTCTTAACTTCATGAATTTTGGAATGAAGCTGCAGGCTCCAGCGGATATGACAGTATACAAGCAAATGAACAAACAGATCTCGATATGCATACTTAATGCATCTGTAGTGCATGGTCATTACGAATTGTTTCGTTTGCAGACTCGACGACTGCCAGCCTCCCGAACAAGGCGGTTCCTCATAATGCTTTAGTACAATAGAACACATATGTACATACTCTTCGTCAAATTGTACAAGAGACCAAGGAATACTATACATCGCCCAACGGAACTTATACTGAAGTAACAATGAGCTGGCCTTATGCTTCCGTGGTAAGACATGAAGGAAGTCAATGTTATTTTTAAAGGTTATTGTTAAAGGTGATGATAATATCTATTAATGATAAGAAACTTAATCTAAAAGTGATTGTACAACAATATTATTATAGGATGTAATAAAATGATTAGGTTGCTGATTTAATAGTGATATAGCAATGTAAGTGGCCTAATTAACGCAGAGAGGTGCGAGGCTGTGTATCATTTTGGAAGATATTACCGCCTACTGTCTCAGACGCCGTCGCATTTATAATAGGTTAATACGACCCAATGTCGATTGAGAATTAAGTTGGACGTTTCTTCAACACAAAAAAGAAGAAATATCTCTAAGAATTGGATTGGAATACCGGAAATAGGAATTTTAATATGAAATTTTAGCCCCTATTAGAGTTCTGTTTACGAATTTCTTTTCATGTAATTTCCATTTCTACACTTAAATGAGTTGATAAAAGTAATTAAAAAGTATTATACTAAACAATTAAGTGCGTGGCCAGACCGCAAACGCGGGCGCGGGGCGGGCGCGGCGAGACGTACCCAAACATAAAGTCTTCCTTTGAGTGTCCATAGTAGCCACGCGGTTGCGAGGCGGGAGCGGCGCGATGTACGGATGTACTCATACATAAAGTCTTTCTTTGAGTGTCCATAGTAGCCACGCTGGCGCGGGGAGGGGGCGGTGCGATGTACTCAAACATAAAGTCTTCCTTTGAGTGTCCATAGTAGCCACGCGGGCGCGGGCCGGGAGCGGCGCGACGTACTCAAACATAAAGTCTTCCTTTGAGTGTCCATAGTAGCCACACGGGCGCGGGGCGGACGCAGCGCGACGTACTCGAACATAAAGTCTTCCTTTGAGTATCTATAGTAGCCACGCGGGCGCGGGGCGGGCACGGCGCGGCGTACTCAAACATAAAGTCTTCCTTTGAGTGTCCATAGTAGTCACGCGGGCGCGGGGCGGGCGCAGCGCGAAGTACTCAAACATAAAGTCTTCCTTTGAGTGTCCATGGTAGCCACGCGGGCGCGAGGCGGGCGCGGCGCGAAGTACTCAAACATAAAGTCTTCCTTTGAGTGTCGGGTGGACGCGTTGGAGGGCGCGGGCTGGTTCGCGCGGTGAGCGCGCGGGCATCTTACGCCATACATCGTTAATACATTTGGCCGCAGTAAGTGCGCGGGCGGCAAGCGGCTAACCACGCGAGGAGCGGGCATCTCAATCTACATTGTACATTGTACTACCGCGCGCGTTGTAATGGTGTCTTTCAAAATAAATCTAGAAGAATTTATTTTATAAGACAATTTACTATGTTTTCTAATATATAGTCAAACGTATCCATTGATTTTTTTCTGGCACGTATACCGCGTATTGGTCTGGTGTAGACGAGACCGAACGGGCATGCCAGGGAGTCGGTTTCATCCTTTCAGAAAGAATGGGTCAATGTGTGAAAGAGTATGAATGTGTAAGCCCGAGGCTGCTATGGATACGAATGAAAGTGGGCTTAAAGAAGCTGTTCTTGCTAGGGGTGTACGCCCCAGACATGTTGATATGCCCACTTACATCCGAGAGCAGTTTTGGGACATGGTAAGGATGGTGTTGACAAAATGTAAGGAAAATGAAAATATTATTATGTTAGGAGACTTTAATGGAAGGGTTGGGGTGAAGAGGTCTGGTTATGAAAGGATATTGGGAACGTTTGGTGATGAAAGTATAAATGAGAATGGTGAAGACCTCCTCACCGTATGTGTGGAAAAGAATCTCTTTGTGACGAATACTTTTTTTCGTCATAAGAAGATTCATATGTATACATGGGAAAGAGGTGATGATAGAAGCATGATAGATTTCGTAATTGTGGATGAAAGAATGAGGAGCGCAGTCGTAGATACAAGGGTTTACCGGGGGTCCAACGTAGGGACGGATCATTACTTGGTCTTATGTCGAATTTATGGTCTTTTCAAGCGTTGACGGCATCGGACATCTGTGTCTACCACTGCGTTACAGCGTATAAGAATAGAGAAGTTACAAGATGAAGATGTGAAAGAGAAGTATAAATGCAGACTGAGAGAAAATATTAGGTGTTTGAATGAGTTGTGTATGAATGATTTAGACTTGAATACTGTGTGGGATAATATTAAGAAAGGTTTGGTGGATGCAGCCACCGAAGTATGTGGTGTAAGTAAGAGAACAAATGAAAGGAAAAGGAATACGTTGTGGTGGGATAATGAGGTACGGGTGGAAGTTGATTCAAAGAAGAAAGCATGGTTAGATTTACTAGCAACTAAAGCTGGTAATTCTGGTGGTATGAATGATGAGATTGAAAGAAAAAAGGCAGAATTTAGACGTCTAAATAAGAGAGTAAAAGAAGTAGTTGAAAGGAAAAAGAAAGAAAGAACGGATAAGAATGATAGAAGGATATCTGATAATTTCCAGGCTAATATAAAAATGTTCTGGAAACTCGAAAGAACTGCGAGGGGAAATACAAAACAGCCTATAAATTATGCTATAAGAGACGAGAATGGATGTATTCTGAATGATGAAGTTTCGAATTTAAGCAGATGGAAGGAATACTTTGAAAGCGTATTTATGAGTGAAGAGTCGTCTGAATTAAATGAACAAGAAATTCTGAAAGAAGTGGAAAGGGGTATGGAGATAAGTGTAGATGAAATAATGAAAGCAATGAAAAGCATGAAAGCAGGTAAGGCAGCTGGATATGATAGAGTATCACCCGAGATGCTAAGGGCTGGAGAGGGAGTGGTGGCAGGCCTGCTGTACACCTTGTTTAATTTGTGTTGGGAATTAAAACGGGTACCGGATGACTGGTGTAAAGCAGTTATAGTACCAATATATAAAGGAAAAGGGTCACAGCAGGACTGCAAAAACTATCGTGGTATCAGCTTGTTCAGTATTGTGGGTAAACTGTATGCTAAGGTGTTAATTGAAAGAGTTATGAAAGAAACTGATGGAAAAATTTTGGATGTGCAAGCGGGTTTTCGAAAGGGTATGGGGTGTACAGATCAAGTCTTTTCCATGCGCATGATTGCAGAGAAGTTTTTGGGTAAAAACCAGAAAGCTTTTTGTGCGTTCATGGAC